ATTAATTGGCTGCCTTCTGCACACCCCACACTGGGGATGGAGCCTGCAACCCAGGCATGTGACCTGATTGGGAATCATAGGTCGACACTCAACCGCTGAGCCACGCCAGCCAGGCTGTTGTTGCTGACTTTTATTCAGCTGGGTTTTTGTTCTCCATTTCATAAAAGTAGGAGCTGTGATGTCCACTTTTCAAATGAGGACACTGAGGCCTGCAGCGATCAGGTAACGCTCCTCTGGAAGGTGGAGCGAGTGCAGGCTGCACGGGCCCAGGACGCCCACCTGTGTCCCTGCATCCGTCTCCATGTTCCCTGCCCTGGTGAGGGCGCCCTCTGCTGCTCACCCAGAGAATTACTGGGATCATCGCACCTGTCTCCTCCCTCAGTCCATCTCTTGCAACCCATCCTATTTCACCACGCACTGCTTCCTGACGCCTCCTTCCACCGTCACTCAGAGGCAAACCTTTCTCAAGATGTACATTCTGGCTACACAGGAGCGATAAATAGGAAATTGTTATTAACTAGAGGCCCGGTGCACAGATTCGTGCACCAGTGGGTCCCTCGGCCTGGCCTGCGCCCTCTCGCAATCCAGGATCCCTCGGGGGATGTCAGATAGCCAGTTTCGGCCCGATCCCCGCAGATCCGATCCAGACAGGAGGGAGCCTGATCCTGTGCATTGAGCGTCTGTCCCTGGTGGTCAGTGCACATCATAGTTACCATCCAGTCATCAGGTCATCTGGTCATAATTGTCGCTTAGGCTTTTATATGTATAAAGGGTGTCCCAAAATTCACGCAAGAAGTAATTTTAATAGAAAACACAGGTTTATAATTTAAAAAATTGTAAATTTTTTATTGATTCATAAAGTATACAATATAGGGTTATGTATGGAATAGCACATTGGGAAATGGCCTCCACGGCTTTGCTGGCACATACGCAAAGCCGTGGTCTTCATTGGTCTTCATTGTCCCTGCTCCTGGGCCATAACTGGTACTTGGTAATACTTATCAAATTGAAGGGATTGAAATCAAAGGGAAACAGGTATTAGAATCTGATTCAATAAACCAGGTAAAATTAGGCTTTTATTTTTTTGTTGTTGTTATTGTTAATGCTCACACAAAACTCAAATCTTGCGTGAATTTTGGGACACCCCTTTAGATGTTATTATTAACAATGCTATTGTTACTATAATTATTATTTTCCATCCCCACTTTCTTCTTCTCTGATGGGGTGCCCGCCTCTTACCCCATCTATGGCACACATGAGTCTTTAGACCAAGATCAGGGCTGCTTTGGTTCACAGCTCCAGGGCTCCCCCTGGTGGCCTGATGCATGGGGTGGTGGGGTTTGTCGGGAGGGGCACAAAGACGGGTCTGTTGGTTGTCATGGTCCCACGAGGTTTACAGGTCCATAGAGATCCCAGGTGAGCATTCCTTGTGGTCTCCAGGCCTGATAAGCAGGGAGGAGGGCCTGTTTTATGAGGGTACATTCCGGCTGTGCTGGGCAGTACCTTGCCCTGGGAGGGGCCGTGACGTTTTTCTCTGTTGATAAGAAGGAACAAAGCAGGGCTCTGGTACTGTAAGCTCTGACAGTTCCGTTCTCTCTCTCTCTCTCTCTCTCTCTCTCTCTCCCTCTCTCTTTCTCTCTCTAATGCAAGTGCCTGGCTCCAGCTTTGGTGGCCAAGGCATTCACATCAAAGATGGCTTTCTGGAAAAAACACATTGCCAGCCACACGACTAGATAAGACCCCAGCCTCTTCTCTCCATGAGGCCCCCTCTTTTTTAAAATGTATTGATTGATTTTGAGAGAGAGATAGAAAGAATCATTGATTTGTTGTTCCACTTATTTGTGCATTCATCGGTTCATTCTTGTATGTGTTCTGACTAAGGATCAAACCTGCCACCTTGTCATATCGGGACAGTGCGCTAACCACCTGAGTTACCTGGCCAGGCTCCGTTGCTTTACAGATCTTGGTTCATTTCAATAACTGACCATTTAGGCTACTTGTGTTTTTTTTTTCTTTCTTTCTCTTCTGGTGCTTTAAATCCCTGCCCTATGTTTTTTAAAAAAATATATATTTTATTGATTTTTTACAGAGAGGAAGGGAGAGGGATAGAGAGTTAGAAACATCAATGAGAGAGAAACATCGACCAGCTGCCTCCTGCACACTTCCTACTGGGGATGTGCCCTCAACCAAGGTTGACCAGAATCAAACCTGGGACCTTTCAGTCTGCAGACCGACGCTCTATCCACTGAGCCAAACCGGTTAGGGCATGCCCTATGTTTTAAATTCACCAATAAAAAGAAACCTCTCTCTTTCTCTCTCTCCTTCCCTCCCCTCCTGTGACTTTGCTGTGTGGCCCCAATTATGCTGTGTAATTTCCAGGGCCGATAAGCAATAAACCTTTATTTTCTCAAGGTTTCCTGATGCTTATTGCAGAGGGTATCTTGTAATCATAATAAGAACCACGAGGGCCGGTCCAGGCACAACATTGGTCATTAATAAGCTGAGTGAGACTAGTGCCAGGCAGCTCCAGAAGGAGATGAAGGGCTCCATGAAGCTGTTCCCCAGGCTGTCACCTGCCCCAGGTGAGCCTTAGAGATGGCTGAGGGGAGCTACCACATGCACTATGGACACGTCTTTCTGGAGAGAATCTTACCGGATGGCAGGGGCCCATTTTCCTGTGCAAATCAAGGGCCAATAAGGAGTTTTCAGCCAAGAAAGTGAAGACTTATTAAGGAGATGGCACCATGCCTGCATTCAGAGGTGGCTCATGCTCAAAGACCTGGCTTCCCAATGGCTTCCAGGGGATGGATTATATAGGGGGAAATATCATTCATCATGGTGACTAATAGAGTTAGGGTCATAGTCTCTACGGATTGGTTGGTGCTAGGGGAGGGATAATGGATCTCATTGCATCTGGTCCTGGCATCAGTCATGGAGTTGTTCTGTCCAATTTTGAAAGGATATGTTCTGTGGGATCCTTCTGCTTTCCTGAGTCCGGAGCTAAAACTCAACCGAGGCCAAGCTATTATGTTTAGCTTGATTGAACTCTGTGTCTCAATCGTCAGTAGACTCAAGACCTTGTTTCTAAGACTCCTGAATGCTGACTAGAAGGTTATTGTCCCGAGGGAGGTGTGTGAGTGAGTCAGGGTGCTAGGTGAGGCCAGTTTGAGTCAAAGGAAAAAAATCAAGAGAAAAAGGCCAACTGAGCCCTGTCTGGGTAGCTCAGCTGCTCAGAGCATCGTACTGATACACCAAGGTTGCAGTTTAATCTCCGGTCATGGCACATACAAAAAGCAACCAATGAATGCATAACTAAGTGGAACTACAAATCGACGTGTTTCTCTCTCTCTCTCTCTCTCTCTCTCTCTCTCTCTCTCTCTCAAAAATAATTTAAAAAATCACTTTAGACAAAAACCAGATGAAAGAAAATAGTGTCTGCATGGTGACAGGAATCACTTCCCAACATGCATCAGGCTTCTCAGCTTAGGGATGTTCAGGGACTGATGACATAGGAAGCCCACCATTGACTGAAGAGACAGAGTTTCAGGTGTTCCAAGTTGTGGGGGACCCAGGATGGGTGGGCCATGTCCAGCTCTGGGGTCTGCTTGAGCGAATAAGTGTGAGTCTCTGGAGCCTGAGGGATGTTCCAAGCCTGCAGTCACCTCCTAAGGGCACGGGCCTCATGAGGGTCTCATTGCATTAAACACTCAGATTCGCCCTGACCAGTTTGGCTCAGTGGATAGAGTGTCAGTCTGCAGACTGAAGGGTCTCAGGTTCGATTCCAGTCAAGGACGTGTGCGTTGGTTGCAGGCACATCCCCAGTAAGGGGTGTGCAGAAGGCAGCTGATTGATGTTTCTCTCTCATCGATGTTTCTAACTCTCTATCCCTCTCCCTTCCTCTCTGTAAAAAATCAATAAAAACAAACAAACAAAAAAAACCCACTCAGATTCATGCCATGGGCTATGAATAAAACCAGCTCTGCCATCTTGGTCCTGGGTAAGTGGACCTGCCATCAGAGGCCAGTACAGTCTGGATACGAGGGGGGATGGGGGACATTTTCCTGCCATGACTTGGCACCAAGCTCTGTCTGATAGACAGAGATGCTCCATGTTGGGTGTTGCCAAATAGAGCCACTCAGCTGCTCTGTGTGGCAGAGGTGGCTCATCTCCTCCCAGTGCCCCCCCCTTTTTCCTTAGTAATAAGGAAGCTAGATACGGGGGAGCCCAGCTACAAGGCTGCATTCTTCAGCTTCCCCTGCAGGTAAGTGTGGCCGCATGACAACATTGTGGCCAATGGATATACACAGAACTGTTGTGAGCCCTTCTCAGAAAGGGACCCTTCAGGGGACTCATACCCACCCCTTCCTCCTCCTGTCTGGCACGTGAAAGTGCTGGTGGAGCTCGAGCAACCATGTTGGATCAGGAGGTGGGAGCCACAGGGATGCAGAGCAACAACACTGAAGGAGCCTGGGTTCCTTGTTATCACAAAGCTCCCAAACTCCCCGGGGGCTGCTCCCCACTAGAGTCCTTATATGATAGAGAAATCAATGGCTGCCTTAACACTGTCTTGTTTATGCGTGTGTGTGTGTGTGTGTGTGTGTGTGTGTGTGTTTCAGCTGAATGCGACAAGACACGTTAAAAAAAAAAAGTCCAGCGTCTTGTCCTTGTTCTGTTGTTTGGTATCTTCAAGTTTTCATAAAAGTGAGTTGGTGGTTATTGTTTTATTTTGTTTTGTTTTTGTAACCGGGACAGAATAGTGTGAATACATAATAAATAAATAAGTCAATAAAGGCAACACAAAGTCATAAAGATAATGACTAGCTCCCCGGAGGCCCTCCTGCCCAGCCCCTCCCACCCGCGGTGCAGAGTCCAACCCTGGAGGCGGGAGGGCGATGGACACACGGCAGCTCTAGACCCGAGACACGGGTGGGTGCTGGCGCAGCAGAGGCGGATCCCAGTCTCTGGAGAGATCCCTCCACCGGGAGGACCCACGGGCGCTCATGCACCTTTCCAGACCTAGACGCAGCCCCTGGAGGGAACTGGTCCTTGTGGGTAAGAGAAAGCGGACCTGGCAGGGCTGGATGGGGGAGGTGAGGGGGACGGGGCCCTCGCCAGGACTTTCATGAGCTCACATACCTGGATATACAGCCCCCCCCAACACACACACACACACACACACACACACACACAGAACTTTCCCCTGGGTGCCCCATCTTCCTGACCCCCTCCTCCACCTCTCCAACTGGGCCCCTTCCCAACCCCTCACCTGGAGGCCTGGAGCTGAGGCCTCAAGTATCTCTGCCTCCTCCATAGAACCAAGGCTTCGGGCTCACAACTAGTGATTTAGACACTAAATCAAAGTCTTGGGGGACTTTTATCCAAGACTGCCAAGGACTCCCTCTGGGTTCTGCCCCGTGCTCAGGGGGACTGGGGCTGCAGTGGTGACCCAGACCACCCTCCCGGGGCTCACTTCCAGGGCCAGGTGCCCATCGGCCACCCTATCCCCTTAACCCAGAGTGGTGGGGACGGGAGGAGGGGGACCCAGGAGGCTGGGGCAGCACCCAGGGGCCATCAGACCCAGGCTGGGGAGGAGGCGACATCAGCGCTGAGAGTGGAGGGATGTGTAGAAGTCAGTCAGCAAAGAGGAAGTGGGGACCAGTGGGCCAGAAATGGGGAACAGCTCATGTGAAAGCCCGGTCAGGAGAGAGGGCGGTGGGTCAAGAGGGCTGTGTGTATGACTAGGACACACGGTGTGGAGGGATGTTATGGCTTCTGATGAATGAATGAATGAATGAATGAATGAGCGAGGGCATGGGGTGGGATAGATGGGATGGGAAAGGAGTCTCAATGAGTCCGAAAGACCAGCTCTCTCTCAGGGTGTCCCAAAAGCCACTCTGAGTTTGAACTTCATCACGAGAGAGCACTGGGAGCCATGGTAAGTATCTGAGCAGAGGGAGAGAGCAAGGCCACAACTGGGCCTTTATAAGGATCTGCAGAACTGCCGTGTGAGGATGGATTGGAGGACACTTGCAAGTGTCCCAAGGAAGAGTCCAGCCTGGAAGACGAGGAGGAAAGAAGGGACCAGGGTGGAGGCTGAGTGGATGAAGAGGAGAGGACAGGGTGTCTGTGGGTCATGACCTGGATGATATAAATTATTCTCTCCCCACCCCCTCTCTCTTCCTCAGCAAGTCTGCTGGCATGGGGGATCTGCCAGGCCTCTGGCCAAATCTCCATCATCTCATCCCTAGGGATTGAGGGATATGAGGCCCTCCTGGAACTGCAGAATGTCCCCGAGGGTGTGCAGGAATACAGCTGGCACCGGGGTGCAAGTGACAGTGCAGACTCGATGATTGTCAGCTACCAACCTCCCTCCCAGGCCTGGCAGCCTGGGCCCATGTACAGCAGCCGGGAGAACGTGACCGTGAAAGGCCACCTGGTGATCAAGGACTCCCTGTTAAACGACACGGGGAGCTACACGGTGAGGGTGGACCTCGGCAACGAGACCCAAAGAGCAACCGGCTGGCTGGAGATTCACGGTGAGTTGACAGGTCACCCCACTCCCTGAACCCGAGAGTTGGACCTGGTGGCTTTGGGAGTGGGGTGCCTTGGAGGTCTTACCGCCCAAGTCTCCCACCCACCTCCGGACGACCCCGGGGGCCTTGGCAGATGGTAGCTTAGCTTCTCCCCCCAAGATGGGCCACTCACTGCCTTCACGGAGTTTCATTGTCAGTTAGTTATCTGTGAGTAGAGCAGCGCAACAAATAGCCACCGGCTTAGCAGCTAAAAAAAAGAACCACCCCATTTTTTAAAAATATTTTTTTTATTGATTTCAGAGAGGAAGGGAGAAGGAGAGATAGAAACATCAATGATGAGAGAGACTCACTGATCGGCTGCCTCCTACAAGGCCCACACTGAGGATCGAGCCCACAACCTGGGCACGTGCCCTTGACTGGGATCGGAACCCGGGATCCTTCAGTCCGCAGGCCAACACTCTATCCACTGAGCCCAAACTAGCTAAGGGCAACAACTCCATTTTTTTTTTTTTTTTTTATTGCACAGATTCTGTGTCATGAATCCGGTGTGGGCCCTAACTAGTTGGCTCATTGCAAAGACGTTGGGC